TCAAAATTCCCGAGGGGCTTTGCTGCCTTCTTTGGCATTAATAATATTAACATTCTTATATATCTAAAATTTGGCGGCACACTTTTAGAATTTCGTGGCACACAAAAGTGCCGCGACACAGTGGTTGAGAATCACTGATCTAGAGCCTCTATCCTGGAGCATCTATCCTCTACGTTTATCATATTACTGGCTAGAATTACTGAAACTCTAATATGTTATACGGTAAATTTAAATTTCTTTAAAAAAACATTTATATCTGATCACTTTGATGTAAAGTTACAAAATAACTTAAAAATGAATTAAAAAGGGAATCTAACCTCTCAAATCTGGTCTTCTTCAAAGAGAAAATAAATATTCTTCTAGATATTACGAAATAGCAATACCCACTCATTTGTATTCTCATAAATTCTTCGGTATAACAATGGAACATTTTACGATAAACTTAAACTTAAAAAAAACCTCAGTACATGAAAAAACGAACTTGTTAGTGAAAAATATTCTATTGGGACTATCTACGATCTTATGTCAATAATAAAACCCTGTATACAACCGTCTGCCATCGCAATCAAACAAGAATGCTAAATATGCTATGATCACGCCATTTTAATAGTGTTCCACCAAAATGTTCATAAAGTAACTTATGGAAAAATTCACGCATGTCGGAGCACACAATTCTCTTTCCCTTTTAAAGTTCAGTTTAGATTTAATTCAAAGCCGTTTGTGGTTATTATAGTCATGACTAGAAAAAGAAGAGATGGGAAAAATCGCTACCCAAAACTTGGGGTTTGACAAACCTGTCAGGTGCGAGATATAGGAGAAATGCGCAGTGCTGACCACGCACCGGTACGAGTCATTTCCGTTATGATTTGCAACGCTCAGTGTGTAATTGGCACTCCGCGATGGCCTTTTAGTTACAACCGGCAGTCAACCTGTTAAGGGTATCATTAGGTCTGGGCATCATTAGGTATGGGCATCATTAGGTCCGAGCATCAATAAGTATTGGTATTATTATAGTCCAAGCGGTGGGTGGTTTCTATTCGCAAAAGATCGGACAGAAATGAAATTTGGTAAGATGGTAGACATGGGTCCCCTGATACTATATCTAAGTTTGCGACCTCGAGGAGTAGAGGGATAAAAACTCTGCGTCGCGACGCTTTTCAGGAAATAGCGCCGTTGTGGTAAGTGCTATAAAAAAAAATCAAATGAGATATGTATATGACAAAATCATGCACAACTTTGACCTCAACATTTTTTGTCTGCGACCAATAGTTCCCGCTCTACGACGCCCCAAAGTAAGGGGTTGATTTGCGATGTTCTACAAAATAAGAATCTCAGCGCGGATTAGGACGAAGATCGCTATGAAACAATTATTATGTAATATATTTTTTTTTTCTAAAGAGTGATGGTTTATAAGTCTGCAAATGTACGATTTGATACATTTGGTCGTATATAATAAATGCTAAGATATTTTGAAGCGCCTACATACTTCAATATAAAGATTTTGTAATTATCAGAATATACAGTGAATATTTCCTTATTATTGTTGACCTAGGCACCAAATTTATTATTTTTGTGCATTAGTTATCATGAATATCCTGTTTGTGATATAGCATACATGCCCTTTGTTCGGCCTCTTTTTATTTACGAGTATTTATAATTATTTACGAGTATGTAATATATTAATTTAAAGGTAACCAACTGAAATTTGATACAAATGCTAAACTTTTTACACTCTATTTAATGAACTGAACCTTAGTTTTTGATCATCTTCATGGGCGGGTAAAGAAGGGGGGCTTACGGTAAAAGTTTTTTGTTGACAGTTTTTATATTTTTGAGTACAAAGTTTGGAAAACCAATATTTTCTTAATAATAAAGCTACTTTTGTTGCATCTCCCTAGGACGCACCATTTTCATGAGAAAAGCATTTGAAAATTTCTTTAAAATTCACCCCAAGACCCCCTAATTTACCCGCCTATGAAGTTAATCAAAAAGTCGGCTTTAATCCATTAAATAAGGCGTAAAAGTTTAGCATTTGTACCACATTTCACTTAGTTATCTTTAACCGTTTAGAAATTATTTAAAAAATATGTCATCAGGACTTAACTTTTAACACCCTGTATCTCGGAAACGAAACGTTTTCGGAACTATGTTTACGTAAACTTTTACTCCTATTTTAGGATGTAGATTTTGCTGTTAAAATGTAAATGTCTTAATTTCGGGACACCCTGTATACTTGCACGTTGACAGCTTTCTATGGTATGGTATGAGTTCTTTTAGGTATTTTTCTACATGACAATTGTTATTTTCTAATTAAATAACCCATCATTTATAATACAATCCTCCTATAAGCAAACTTGAACCACCATCACAAACCTGAACCAGTATATTGGTTCAAGTTTGTTTTGCTGTGTTAAATTATTTAATACCCACTCTATGCTTAAAGTGAAACTTTATTGTAATAGTTCCATAATAAAGGAATCTGTAAATTATGTTTTCAAATCTTCGCGCCCAACACATTGCCGGATATTCCCCCTTTTTTATTGGTTCAGGAATATACGAAACTCCAATATGTAGTTCAACAATTTGACGTTTGCGGCGCTTAGGTAGGTATTTGCGGTATATAATTATATATACGTATTGAAAGTAATTCCGTATCATCTTGAGCCAGTGAATGTGGCAACATTGCGTATTTACAAACATTTTATGTGCTTTCCGTTTTGTAGGAATCATTCAAAACAGAAGTAAGTCGAAAGAAAAATATTACATTACGTGTGTGGAAAGTGACATTTTTCACACGAGTGGAAAATATTGTCGCACGAGGCACAAGCCGAGTGCGACTATCACACCAGTGTGGAAAATTACTTTTTACACAAGTGATATACAATATTTTTCCTACGACCACAAAATAATTTCATCAAAAAATGTAGAACGAGGTTATTATTATAATAATTAAAATGTATTTAAAAAAATAATCAACAATAATTGTATTTATGCAATTTTCATATTTTTCGAAACAAAAATTAAAAAACAAAAAAAAATTCTGCAACCACCAAGTTTTGAACGCGGGCCCGCGGACCCGTCGTGTAAGCCAAAGTTCAAATTGCAACTACCCTAAAACCTCAGCTAATAGGTCTTATGTCAAATGCATTTTTAATTCGATTTTAAGTTTAAACAGAATAAAAAGCCAAAATAATGAGATGTATGTAGTTATTTTAAAATTATTTTAATAATTGTTAAAAATAAATATCTAGTATCTAAGTTAATCGTCAATTTTAATAATTTAATCATAATATCGATTTTAGTATTAATATGGACATTATATAGATCAAAATAGAAATGATGTGTTCGACATTTTGTGACAGCTGCTGCGGAAAGTAGCATATTCGTACACGGGTGGAAAGTAAATTCTTATTAATACGCGTGTGATATAGGGCACTTTCCATAGGACTATATAGTGTGATATGTGTCACTTTCCTAAGTGGTCGAAGGAAAAAATATTTTCATTTAGTTATTTTTCATAAAAAGGTCGAAATGGTCTGAAACCTAAAATGCAACTATGATATATTAAATTTTTACAGTAGTATACGAGATATGTCAAATAGGTAATTTTGCTGGAGTAAAATATCTTTATTTTTGACAAACCTCGTATACGACTAATAAAATTTGATATCTGATGGTAGTATTTTAGGTTTGAGACCATCCTCGTCTTACTATATGCAGAAACCTTTTTTATTACTAATTTTATGAAAAAAGTTATTTTTCATAAAAAGTCGAGCATGGTCTAAAACGTAAAATGCAACCATCAAATATCAAATTTTATTAGTCGTATACGTGATTTATCAAAAATAAAGGTACTTTATTTTACAGCTAAATTCATATTATTTGATATATCTCGTATAGTATTGTAAAAATATATCTGATAGTTGCAGAACTTTTTGTGAAGAAAAACTTTTTTCATAAAGTTAATAATAAAAAAGTTTCCCATATGCTGCGAACTTAAGTGGACACACTGTATATGCTTGAACTTTTGTAAATACCCGACTGTTAATTTCGACGTATTTGTGTTTGGGGACTTACCGCCGCTGACTTGACATGTAAGAACTAAAAGCTGCGTATCTTACCTATTTCAAAAATAATATTGTTTTATTTCCAAATATTGTCCATATCTTAAAGTGGTCCAAAGTAGATTAAGAAGAAATGAGAGGACCAGAGATCTTATTGGTTAATTTGGGTTGGATTCCTTGTTAAAAAAATCTCATTAATAGATTTTTTTATATTTAGACAACTAATCATGCAGGCTGTTCAAATATAAGGTTTAAAATAAGATTGAGAAAACTACAAAAAAATGTTTTTTATGGAAATTCACATTTTTCTCATTTTATAGTATTTAGTATCGAAAATAAAGTATGGAAAATAAGGTTGTCTACAAGATGGTCCGTTAACAATGGGACACAGAACATCTATAAATTCGTTGCATAAAAATCTTGCGATATAAAAATTTACCTTTGTTCAATTCTGGATATTAAAGATATTATAAGGTGTTAAAGTAGATACTTAATAAAATTAAGTGTCAAATATTTCAATCAAAAATACTGATATAAATGTATCTATTTTAACACTATGTATTTAAAGTTATTATATCAAAACGCATTATTCTTCTATACTGTTAAATAGAGTAAATAGAGATTTTGAATCAGCTTTATCTCACTCAGTTTGGTAGAGTACTGACTTCTCGACATACGATTATGCTTCTGAATCCCTGAAGCCTCCATCAAACGAAGTAGTTGAACTTCGAATGTTAAAACGTAAACAAGAACATAACCCTACTTTTTATTCGGGTTTGGACGTTGAATAAATAAAACAAGTAGAAATAGTATTGATCATTTAAAAATACACAAAACTAGTTTTGTAACGCCCAATAGCCGGATAATTTGAAAACTAGTTTTCTTCAATTTATTAATTCGTCTTTTTTATTTCAGAAATGTTGATTCAACTCCACGATGAACAACTCAGACGTCTACCCCTGGGTGTCCCAAAACGCAAGCTACTACAGTCCAGAAAATTGGACTGGAAACTATAGCACCGAATACCTAGATGCTTGGGAAAAGTGGACTGAACTAATCCAAGATAGAGCTGTGGTCGTAAGTCTTCTACTATTGTTTTCTATGTGCACGGTATTCGGTAATATGCTGGTCATTTTGGCTGTTATAAGAGAAAGATATCTGCACACTCCTACTAACTATTTTATAACATCTCTAGCCGTAGCAGATTGCTTGGTGGGTTTAGTAGTAATGCCTTTTAGTGCTCTGTATGAGGTACTTGGGCATACCTGGTTTTTTGGATCTGATTGGTGCGACGTTTGGAGAAGTTTAGACGTCCTCTTCAGTACTGCTTCTATCCTCAACCTATGTGTTATTTCCTTGGACCGGTATTGGGCTATAACAGATCCTATTACGTATCCAATGCGAATGACTAAGTTTAGATCTATGTTTCTAATAGCTGCTGTGTGGGTTTGCAGTAGTGCTATATCTTTTCCTGCTATAGGGTGGTGGCGGGCCGTTAGAAATGCTCCTATACCTGCTTTCACTTGCCCCTTTACAGAACACTTAGGTTATTTGATTTTTTCTTCTACTATATCCTTTTACTTACCGTTGTTCGTTATGTTGTTCACGTACTTTAGGATTTATAGAGCAGCCGCTGCTCAAACTAGATCATTAAGGCTGGGTACCAAGCAGATCTTGCTCGGTTCTGGAGAATTAGAGCTGACGTTAAGAATTCACAGAGGAGGCACTTGTAAAGCACCGGAATCTAGGTTATACTCGACGCAAGAAGACGAACCTCTGACAGCTTTACAAAATAACGGGTTATCGCGCGTGGCTTCTAACAGACTGAATTCGGCTCACAGTAAAAACTTTTCGTTGAGTAGAAAGCTGGCGAAGTTCGCCAAGGAGAAGAAGGCTGCAAAGACTTTGGGTATAGTGATGGGTGTGTTCGTGATATGTTGGTTGCCGTTTTTTGTGGTGAACTTGTTGTCCGGGTTTTGCTTGCAGTGCATTAGCCATGAAAGGATTGTGCTCGCTGTGGTGACTTGGTTGGGATGGATCAACTCCAGCATGAATCCTGTGATTTATGCGTGTTGGAGCAGAGATTTTAGAAGGTAAGTTTTTAGTTTAATTCTTTTGTTGTAACGGGTTTCCCTATTATATTTGTCTGAGAGGTAGTGACACTTTTCCTCAAGTGAAGGAATTTTTGCAATATTATGACAAGTTACTAAAATAAAATATTGAGAAATAGCGATTTGGAATTTTAACAAAATCTATAAAACAAACTAGTTACGAAAGCCGGAGAGGCTAGCCGCGAGCTTAGTGTGCATCCACTTACTCGCAACAGTTAAGCAGTGATCTCTCCGGTCACGTCGTGGATGGGTGACCGCTGGGAGGTTCCACCATGGGCCGTGTCACCATGGGATTCATCCGACTAGCGTTTAACCATCGACGACGTGGAATGAATGAATGAGGGTGTGAATGGGAAAGTAGTAGGACCTTCAAATGGTGGTACAATAAGCCGCAGGCTGCAGTGCTGCCAGACTACAGACGGATTAGGGTGTAGCACGGGAGGTCTGAAGGGTGTAAAACTAAAAAAAAAAAAAAAACTTACGAAGTACATGCCAAATAAATTTTTTTAGCGTTTTTCTCTAAAGTTGAAATTTAGGAAACATTTAATAAAAAAGTTATGGAATTTAAAAAAATTATTAAAAACAGAAAAAAGTGTGGCTCGTCACTTTTTTGGTAAAACAAAACTACTCAATTCGAATGAACAAAATTTATACAAAACTTCTTATAAAGTTAAATATGAAAAAAATATAGACCAAAACAGGTATTTAAAAAAAACTTCTTGTAAGTTTAATATAACGGTAGGTGGCTCTTATTCGTCTAATATTTCTACAAACTTGTCTGGGTTTTACAAATTAATATTTGCATTTAACTGATTATAAAATGGGCGATAAATATGCTGAATATATGGCAGCAATGTCTAAATATTAGCTAATTTATTTTTGGCAATTTTTATTGTCTCGGTGTACTTTTTTTAATGATGTCAGATAGGGTATTGGTACTTGCTGGTCTTCCTTTTTTTAAAATGTAAATTTCCATAATATTCCCCATTTATCGTGTGTTTAATAAAGAAGAATCTAGGTTTCTCTACTTTAAAATGGAAAGCGTAAACCTCAGAAAAATCCAACTTCTGTTTATCAGCAGAACGTGCATTTTTAATAATATTATGCAACAAGGGCTCAAAAGAAAAGAGTCGTCTTAAGTCACTGAAGTAACGACAAATCTTAGATAAAAGAGACCAGAAATATAACATGCACCGGTGTTTAACCTGCGCAAATGTTGCCAATTTCTAAAGAAAGGTTAACGGAGTGGGGGAATTGGACAGAGACCCGAACTTTGTGACAGGGACCGGACTTTGTTTATTAGCATCAAAATGAACTATTAGATTTATTTAAAATATACGTTCAATGGAATTTTGTATTATGAAATAAATTTAACGTCATTTTTTTAATATCAAACAGATGCCACGACATTTTATGTAAAGAGAAAACCTTTTATAAAATATTTCGTTAGCTATTATTTACTACGGACTTTTCTGTAAGAGACTACAGTAAAATGTTGAAATAGAATATTGTTAATCTAGTAAAAAATGTCTAAGAGTATTATAAAAAAAGCATGTGCGCAGGCGAATACTGCAAATCAAACCTTGTGAGTTGAACATTATATTTTTTCTACGACTATCACATAATATTAAAAATTAGTCAAAATGAGAAAATGCTGGTTTGTATTATGACCTCAGAAAAATATATATTAAAGCTTGTTTCTTTAGGAATATTAATTAATATAGAGGATGAGTCACATAAAACTCTAGAAATGCATATGTCTGAAACCAAATAACATTTTAAAGTTTAAACCTATTAAAAATCATTTGGTCGCCAGGAGTGGGAGATTATCGAAATAAATTATTGATTATTAATAATAATCGATTATTTTCGATCAATCGATTATTTTCAAACAATCTATTTTTGTTCGTATTTCCTTTAAAATCGACTACTTGATTATTTTTGAAAAATCAAAAATAGATTAATTTAAAAGCCAATTAACCAATAGATCAGTGTTTACAAAAAATAATAAACGAATTATCGTTTATTTTAAATAATCGATTATTTTTAAATTATTTATTTTTTTTTTTCGTATTTCCATTGAAACAGATTATTCGATAATTTTTGAAAAATCTAAAATGATCGATTAATCAAAAATAATCGATTAATTAAAAAGTCGAATAATCGATAAATCGATTTAAAAAAAAGAATTATTTTCTTTAAAATCAATTATTCGATCATTTTTAAAACATCGAAAATAATCGCTTAATCGAAAATAATCGATTAAGGGAAAATAACCAATTAATTAAGAAGCCGATTCTACGTTAAATCGATTTTCCAAACAAATAACTGAATTATCGATTATTTTCAAATTATCCTTTTGTTTTCATATTTCATTTAAAATTAATTATTTGATTATCTTTGAAAAATCGAAACTAATCGATTAATAAAAAGCTGATTGACTAATAAATCGATAATACTAAAAAATAACCGAAATATCGATTATATAATATAATCGATTATATTCGAGCAATCGATTATTTTTATATAATCTATTTTTTGTATTTTAAAACAAATTATTCGAATACCTTTGAAAAATCGAAAATAATCGATTATTCGAAAATAATCGATTAATCGAAAATAATCGATTAATCGAAAATATTCTATAAATCGAAAATAATCGATTAATTTAAAAAGTCGATCAAACAATAAATCGATTTTTCTAAAAAAAAAAAACGATTATTTTCAATAAATCTACTCTCTTTTTGTAATCCCTTTATAATTCCTTTACCTAAAAAAACGAAAACAATTTATTGAAAATGTTTGATTAATCAAAAATAATCGATTAATTATAAATTAATTATAAATCGATTTTCATGAAAACGATAAATCGATTATTTTTGTAACTCCTATCGGTCATGCTTTTATCCGAGCATTTAGCTCTAAAATTTATGGATTCGGATTTATTGATCCTGTTATCTTTGAAACCGCATTCGATTGTATAATAAATATTGCTAGAATTTAGATTTTTTTAGTAAACGAAGATTTTTTTTTTCGAGTTGTTTAGGGGTTTATAATGTAACATTTTACTAATAATATGACTAATTTCCGTAACTTTAGTATTTTTTTGCTTATACTAGATCATATTGCGCGTTTTACTTTATTTTAAAACTTAAGATTCAAATGTCACTTCCGATTTAACCGCAAATAAAATTAACCTTGAAATTTTAAGTAGGTGACCCTGTATTTCATCTAATATTCTTGTAAAAATACCTAATAAAGGGCTAAAAACCACCTTTAGTAAATATTCTTATAAAACTACATTTAAAAACAAAATTTCGTTAGTAACAATGCCTATTTACTTCTTATTTAGATTAAATGTTTAAAATTTTACTCTTTTGTAAATTAATGCATTATGAAATCTATTTTCTGAAATATTATGTATTTGACGCTTAATATTTATTGAAGCCCCTTAATGCGGATCTGAAGTATTCAGCTCAAAGAATCATGGCGACTTTATGTCAAAACGTCAACAAATATTTACCGCTGAAAACGAATATATTTCTTATTTTTCATAACATTGACACTTATATTATTTGTATATACAATTTTTCACCATACATCGTGGCACTTTCAACTTGAAATTGAATAACTAAAACACTTTAAATTGCTAATAACACCAACAAATAATTCAAAAAATGGCGGTCCATAATAATTTACTCACGCGGAGACAAGCATAGAATAGACATTTCGGAGCAATTCGGGTGGCGTCGTGAACACAATGATTTTTAATTGGTGGGTTACTTGGGTTTAAAATAGACAACATGCGCAGTGTGCAATGTTACATATCCGGTCTCTTTTATCTAAGCGACAAATGGATTTTTTTTATTTGCTTCTTGGATGACTTGGTGCCAACCTTCTGGTGAATAAATTACAGGAGCATGTCTTCTTTGTCTTTTTTCGATTTTTGAAAATCCCTGTCAGAGGATTATTTTTTTTTAATCAACTGAAGCCAAAAAGATATCATTTGCCAATTTTTGTTTTGGCCTGGACAGTTGTCACTATCAACAAACCCTCGCTTAGATCATATAGATCCTATAGTTTCAATATCCGAAACAATCACTGAAAAGCTGAGTTTAAAAATGTATCACTTTCAAGTCTTTTCAACTAAAGTGGTATACAAAGAGTTTTTTCTCGGCAATTTAAAAGATAGATGAAAAACTACATAAAATATCAGAAAATCGTTTTGAAGTATTTGAAGCTAATAAGCCACAATGTAATTTATTTTAACACGAAATTAGTTAGATATTGGATAATGTAATCAAGGCATAATTTACCTTTTTAGTGTATTTAAATGACGTGTTTGAAACTTGAGCAGTGACCTGAATTCCGTGACCGACAGCCATTTTCTAGAATCAACAGTCATGCGAGCGAAAATATACATTGCACCGTGATTAACAGGTTGGTCTCTATCTATGTAGGTATAGGTTTGATTATTTTAGCAAAAAAAGGTTTCTGTAAAATTGTCGAACAGCTCACAGTGGTTGTTGCAGAATTGACCTCGATTCTACAATAAAGGATTGATGTCAATGCAGAAAAAATAATGTAGGACTATTAACCTTAGTGCTGCCTCAGATCTGTCATTTAAATTTTTTGTGAGATTATTTAGATGACACAAATATATTTGGTCAACTCCAGTATTTATTAAAAAATATAATTTATATAAAAAATACTAAACTTTAATAAGTTCATGACATAACCAACAGGAACGTAACTGGAGTTGGTAAGAATTATACACTTATCGCAAAATTAACTATTGTTTTAGTATATGAGAGGCAGCACAATTATAAAAAAAATAGTATATGAACAGTCACATACAAAATGTTCACTAAGATAGGACAATGTAGCATTAGAAAAAAAGTGAGCATGAGCAAAAAATGTTCACTAACTTAGGACAAATAATGTACAATATTAGCGAGCGATCACATACTACTTCTACCCTTCTTTATCTAGATATTATTCGCTATCCTTAGCCTCTTGGCTATCTATTTAAAAAATCATAAAAAGTACTTATCTTAACCCTAAAACGGCCAAATTATTTTTTCCTAAATTTTGTTAATTATTAGGTCTTTTGGC